CTTCCCCAATACAGGGCTGGTACAATGGACCAACCTCATGCACATTTGGTTAACATACACATTCCAACATCTGTGATATCATGACAATGAAAATAATTTGGAAATTTAAGAATATAACCTTCATTAACAGTAACAGTTTTCTGTGTAAGAAGAGAAACATGCTGACTGCACAGATGATTGTTTGTTTCTTTGTTGAATTTTGCACAAAGTCACTTGAAGGCTATCTATGCTAGCCATTCCTACATTTGAAGTGATACATTAGAAGGAAAACAACTAGTCAACATCATCCATCACCAACTCTTGGGGTACTCTTTTCCCAATGAAAAGTAGGACTTATTGTCACATTATGATGACCACATGGCTGGAAGGACAAAAATGTTTATTGATTGGATTTGAATCTGCAACCTACAGATTATAAGTGCCCTAACCACCAGGCTTGTCTCAAGATGATGAAGTCATCAACTACTCACCGATGAAAGTAACAATCAGAAGTTGACAAATTCATATCTGAGTGGTTACAGACTTACTTTAACACCTTGGTTTGTTAGTATTAGTGTGCAAACATAAAACCATTCCAGCCTTCTAACAAATCTGTCATCATAAATAATGATGTTCCATTTTTGAATTTTAAAATATAATACAAATTTAGTTTAAGATTTTTGAGAAAATATCCATTTATTTCATGTACTACACACTAGTGAAGCAAGGTGCTGCCACACTACAAAGTTTCCTGTTGTTAAGGTATTCCACTCCTTAAATAAGATACCAATAAAAATCTCAGAAAAAGAATTATTAGTATAATGATGTTAAATAAGATTCAAAAAATAAAAATAGTCTTTCTGTCTGCAGTGGAGAACATATAAAGTGCATGCTTTCCTGTAATGAAATAAAAACTGTTTCAAGTATTATTTTTTTAAGAAATCAATACACTATAAGAGTAACTAAATAACCAAAACCAAACCGGTTTCCTTAAATAAAATAGTACTTGCTTTAGCTTCTTTTTTATTTTTATTTTATTTATGTTCCTAATCTGAGAATTTCTTAAAGCACATACAAAACGGAACACTAATCTAGGACTAACTTAAAAGTATGCTTCATTTATTGTTGTTTAACCAAATATACTACTATATTTCTTTCTATTTTCACTATATGTTAAATTGTTTTGCTGAACAGGTTTCTTGTCAAGTAAAGTTTATTTCAGATTTCTGCTAGAAACTTTTTGGATTTTATATTAATTTTAAATTGAGACATTTAATGCCACTTTCCAATCTTATTTACATGATAGTTGAGTCTGTTAATAGTACAGTGACTGTGGAAAGTTAATTTGGTGATGCATAACAGATTACTTGACTAACCTAAGACTACTGGATAGAACCAATGCCACCAACTCGGAAAATTTACATCGTACATTTACATCAAGTCCTGGCTGTAAAAACTTCTGCATAAGGGCTTCATCAAACTTGTATTTACTGTTCAGGAGTTTTAAAACCTCTGATTCTCTGTCAAAAACTCCTCTTAGAACTGCTATACAACTTATCAGCACTCGTTTCTGGCTTTCTGTAATAACATCATTTTCTTTCGGACAGGTCAAATGTTGTAAAACAGCTTCTATTAGTTGACTAAAAAGTTCCTCAGAAGGCTTAGTTGTCTCTGCGCTAGAGCCATGGACATGATGAAAACTTTTAACTAGACAACTGACGATGAACAATTCAGCAGCTCTACTAACGTACAGACTTCTGTCTGATAGACAGGATAGGCCAGTTTCATGTATACCTAATTCAAATAAATACATTTACATTTTAATATTTCAGACTATAAGCCAAATTTAGTAGAATATTTTGATGTTATATGATACTTGATAGAATCAATTCTACAATAATGATTAATTTGCTTTATATTACACAAATATGAAGGATATTTAAAGATAAAAAAACATAAAAATTAGAATTATTATGGTTTGTACCAATACACAAACAATCATTGTTTGTTTTGTTTTATTGTACAAAAAGTCAAATCACTAACAGATAAAGTATACCCAAAGAAAATTCAATATTTTACTCATGCAAGAAACTCCTCAACTTGTTTAAATTACTTTAAAGTAGCCTTATTGTTACAACAAATATATAAGTGAACCAATTGAAGTGGTTTGAACAATAAGAACTTTTTCAAAGCCCTTCCCTTCTGTGACATTTGGTCCTTATCTGTTATAGAAATATATATATTGTTGTTTAACCAGAAGAAAATCTGAAGTAACATGATGGATGTGGCTTTAATATCTAGAGTTCCCTCTAAAATTAAGGAAATAACTTAACCAATATATAAAATGAGTTAGGCTAGGATTAGTTACTGAGTAATCAGTGCATGACTTAGCCAGTTTATCTGTTGCTGTTAGTTTGTGTTCTGGTGAAGAAACAGAGATATGATAAAATTAACAAGTGGAAGTTGTGTTTGATGAAGCTTATTTGTGATGTTAGGCCTATTGGTTACACTAACCAGGAAATTTGAATAAAATATTTTTTTTATCATTAAGTACTCAGGACTTTTGATTATTATATTTACTGAGTAATCCGAAAGAAGACCAAACAATATCTGTTAGCTTACAACTTTAACAAAATGTACACAATATACAATATACTCAAGTACCATTGTTATGATAAGAAATAATTATTTTCTCTACAGTAAACACAAATATCAAAGAGTAAATCTTTTGAGAATGGTGAAATGTAAATTTTAGACAAAGATTTTTAAGTAGCATTCTCAAGCAGGTTACATCTACCCCATATAATGAACTGAGTGGCATTTAATGTTAACCAATTGTGAAAACAATCGAGGTTCAGTGGTTCTCAAAATTTATTATAGTATGGTGTTTATTTTGTTTTAATGTTTTTCATAGATTCTTTTGTCCCCTGTACCATTGGTCTAATTGATGACCACCATCAGTGGGGATTTGAGTAATGACTAGTGGAAAGTCCCCAAGCTTGAACCAGCAGTCTGTACCTGATACATATGATCAATTGGCAAGTTGGCCAAATAGTTGATAAATGTCTTTTAATCATCTTAAGTGCATGATAATGCATTTCAGTTAGAGTTATATGGATCACATGTTTAATATACATGAGAATCTACTCAATAATATGACTGAAGGAAAGGATCTTGACATAGTGACAAATAAGTCAATCAAGCTATCGAGGAAGTGCTATGTTTCTAGTATCAAAGCTAATTATTAATCCTATGTATTTATGTGATTACAAGTCAAAAGAAGTAATTGTCTCTTACACACATTACTAATTATATCTCACTTAGAATACTATGTACAGTTTTATTCTTATCTAGTAAAGGATATTGACTTATTGGAAAGAGTTCCGAAGAGAGCTACTAGAATGATTCCACAGATGGAAATGTTATCTTACGGGGATAAGTTAAGACCTTTTGTTTTCTCTTGAGAAACAAAAGAGTGACAGGTGATCTAGATGAAGCTTGCAAGATTATCTGGTAGACCAACAGGATGAAGGTCTCTGATGTTTTTTTTTATTCTACAGTATGAAAACAATTGGTAAGAGGAAACAAGTTTGAAACTTGGAAAAAGACATGTAGACTGTAATTAAGAGAGTTTTATAGTTCTAACATGGTGATTAGCTACTGGAAGCAGCAGTGGAAGCTGACACCTTACAAGCTTAAAAGAGGGGAATTGATGATCTCCTGAAAAATAAAAGGAGACTTTCATTTTCTTGGGTGTGGGTGTGCAGAGGACTTAAGGGACCAAATGACTATTTGTTGTCCATATGTAATGTTATGAGCATTTAAAGCAAAATGCAATGTCTGCTCTACTGTGTAAGGAGTGTGGTGCACACTCAAATTGAAAAAACAAACAAAAAAGTTAAATTTTTTTTCTTTTAAAAATATGTCAAGAAAACATTTAGACTATATATTTCTAGTGATGATAAGTTTTTTCAACAAAGTAATGCTTACCACATTCATAAATCCATTTAAGTCCCTCATCAACTAATGAGCATTTGTACACACATTCCAAAAAAGCAGCTCTAACTACAGCATCAACCGTAGAAATCTTCTCATTTCTAGACAATTTCTTAAGATCATCAAAAACTGGAAAACTATCTTGACTCTCCAGCATTTGAATGAAAAAGTTCTGGGACAATAATCCCACAATCCGAAGAGCAAATGCTTGAACTTGGATTTCACATGAACTGCTTTCTTCTAGAACCTCATGAAGAAACTTTACTATATCTGTTTTCCTGATTAGGAGCTGATACATCACTACAGAAAAAATATTAATAAATACTATATATTATTTTATATTATCATTACATTAAAATTTTTTTAAAGAAAGAAGAAAGAGGAAAACAAATTCAACGTTGCTTAAGTTCTCATAAATGAAGGAAATACACTAGTATCAAACTACAAAAAGTAATTTACTAATAATGAAATAAAGGTCTGTACATTATTTGAAAGCATAAGACTAAAATGTTTTTCCCACTTTTAAACTATATGCTATTTCAGTTTATTTACATGGTTCTTTTCAACAAACAGTGTTATTTTAATCCAAGTCAGAAACTGTCTTCACATTTTCCTTCATAAATTTCCTCTTCATCTATTTGTTCTTGTTTTTGGATAGAGGCTTTTTACTCCAAATGGTATTAGAACTTTTTTTTCTCTCTTTATTTTCATCCATATTACATATTACATTTAACCATGCGTTTACAAATATCTCACAATGAAAATAATTCTGACAATATTTTTATGACATTATTTAGTTGCCCGTTTTTTAATGGATATTACTCTTAAATCAAAACTTTCTAGCATTTCCAAAGTCGTAAAATGATTTTTACCTTTTACAAGATCCTTGAAACTTTTATACTGTATAAACAAGGTGATAAAGGGTTGTTTAGTTCTTTAAAACTGCACAACATTTTCAAAAATAATTAATCAAAGCATCAAAAACAAACTTTCTGTAGCCTTTCACTTCCATGCACCTATACAACAATTGTTTAAATGAGCTAACAATATGAACTGTATAATCAGGCAAACCACTCCACAGAAACCATTTTGAGGAAGAACACACCTGAGTCTAAACTTCCAAAGATTTAATCCACCTAAATTTAAGTTTATATTTCTCATCTTTTCAGTCTGTAGTAGTGTTCTCAGGCAGACTGTTCACCTTAGTTACTTGTAGTCAAGGCTGGTTCAAGGTAGATTTTATGGCACCCACCTTTTCTAAACACGCATTTTGTGTTGCCCATTTGTACCCTGTATAACTTTTTTGTGTATATACTATGCATGTAATTTTCCCATGTTACTTCTTGTTACTATATTACGTATTAGTAGTAATATTTGTTCAGTAATTTTTAAAAAACCTCTTTATTTTTAAATTGGTATTCTCAGATATAATTTATATGCTTCTATCGTCATAGTTGCATACTCCCCCCCCCCCAACACACACACACACATACTCCACATTTTGCATATCATGACATTACTGAACACAAGTATATACTATACAAAACAAAATTCAGCCAGACATGTTTATGGGATGACAGACAACACCTATACTGGAGACCCCTCCATTTGTAAACTTAAAAGTATTATGTCCAGACTAAAAGAAAATAATATTATATACAATATTCTACAATAACATCCTACTCAGTGTTAAGGTGGTACCTTCATCCCTTTTGCTTATTCCAATAACAAATAATGGAGGATATACCTGCAAAGCATCATCTAACATTCCAATGGAAAGGATCACCGTCTTCCTTTAGATAGTGTATTCAACTATGCATGTCTAAAGCAATCTTTCCTATGAGAACATGCACGTGATACCAAAGGGGAATGATCCAAAACAATAGGTAACTAGAGCACAAACAGTTTAGCCAAGATTAAGAACCATCTCTGTGTTGTCTAAACTATGTAGCCATCAAAAATGCCTATGTGTGATGAATTTTGAAAATTATTAGTGAATATGAAATATTCACCTATCTAAACTAGAAAGGAAACTAAGAACCTTTGAATGAAAGCAAAGAAGAATATGTTAACATCAAGTATTCTTGAATACTACTGCACTGTCATTCAAAAAGACTATTTTTTGCAGTTTTAAACACTTATGTCAAGTCACTTCTAGTTCCTCTATGCTCCTAAAGACAACTCTAAACCTAACTTTCTCTTCACAACTAAACTTTCTTAAACTAGATACCATTTTAGTTGCTTGTTTTTCCACTCTTTCCATCACAGTGAGAACTTTCTTTTAGAAAGACTTCAAAATCCACATAATACATTAAATATGGCATCACCAGTCTTATACAAGGTTGCAACAACCTATTTACTTTTCAATTTTAAATTCAAAAAAGTTCAGAATTTCAGGGTAGGAAGGTTATTTCAATCTTTAATATTACAACACTCAGATTATGCACTATTTAGAATAATGCATGTAGATTTGGCCTCATGGTGGAAATACTGAAGAGATGGTCTACTAGTGTAGAGTGGTCCTTGGTCAGAGTTATAAATATTTTATGAATTAAGACTTATTTGTTTGCTTCCTGGAGTATATAAGAGCTAGGAATAAATCGATTCAAGCATTTAAAATTGTTAAAGAAAATCTATACGAGAGTTTAAACAAAAAAGAATGTATTTGTGAACTTGGTAATAAAGGTAATATGTATAGCTATAAGCAATGAAGAAGCCCAAATTTATTTAACAAAAGCATTCTATTAATATTAGTTATAAATATGTGAAATGTTCCACCTGATAATATGGTGTGTGTTGTAAGTTTAAACTAGGTATACAGATGTTAAGGGTTACATTTAGTATGATTTTGCTGCTTCATTTTTCACAGGGTTGCTACAATATCCCAGGAGATTACTACCACAGTTGTTAAATGTTGACTTATATCTACAGCATATATACATGCCACATTTTGTAATTACAATGAGCAATGCAATGGTTTTATATATGAAAAAAAAGTAAATTTGCCAAAGTTTTTCAAAACTGTTGGTTATAGAGCATAATTGAGGATTAACATAAACCTTTAAAAAGTTTCAAAATTATCAACCCTGTGTCTAATATTCATATAAGCTCTAAAAATGAACTAAAGTGCTTTTTTATGCATTGAAGTAGTGTGTGGTTGATGGTTAGGGCATAGTGTATACGATGTATCAATGCTTAGCATTGATACCCTACAATAGTTAAAGGATTCTAAATTCAGGCCTTATTTTCCAGAAGAAAAACAGGCATATAACATGTATCTTTACATTTATGTTAAAGAACAAAACATTAGATATACAACATGTGAATAATTCAGAAATAGTACAGCTAATGACAGATCAATTTAAAAAATTTAATTATATCCATTACCTTTAGTTTAACAATTAGCTCATGATTTGAGTACCTCACTGTCTAAGATTAAAAATAAATATTTTGTTGACTGTGCAAGAATGTATAACATGCCGGGCATCTGAACACATTTCGCATGATATATTCAACAGACAAAACTCTTCCTAGCCTTGAGTCAATCTCTTTAACACCTCTGAATTTGATGTCTAGGTAAATTAGTACTATTAATATTATCAGTTTCATTATCATATAAACTTCAGTAACTTCCACTTACGTTGGCCTTGACATTCTGAACCTATACTTGAAAGAAAACTGAAAAACTTTTGAAGTAACGTATCATCT